CACACACACACACACACACACACACACACACACACACACACACACACTCCACTAATTTAATTTTTAAGAGGCATTTTGTTGAAAGTAGCTGAAACTGTTTAAGTACAATTACATTATTTCCCTTTTGAATGTAGTGGAGTAGAAGTATAAGAAGGAAGATTGTGGCCGACCCCTCTCACCCTGGACCCAAACTGTTTGCCCCCACTTCCCTCTGGCAGGAGGCTGCGCACCATCACTTGAACAGTCGCATTACATTAATGCACTCTATGCAAACAATATCTTGTTTTATTTATTTTATTTAATTTGCATAGGTCTTTATTAGAGACAATCAATAAGGGTATTTGGTAACACTTTATATTAAGGTACACAAATTAACCATCAACTAGTTGTTCATTAGCATGCATATTAGCAGTATATTGGCTCTTTATTAGTCATTATAAAACACTTATTAATGCCGTATTCTACATGACCATATTCTACAAGTAATAAGCCATTAGTTGAGAGTTTTTCCTCAATAACCCTCTAATTAGTGCTTATCTATTGCAAGGAAGTTGTTGTACATGAGTTTTGGTCTTAATATGCTCTGCTCAATATGGGCCTAATAAGGCAGTAGTACCACAAGAATAGTTATTCTCCCATAATAACACTTAACAAATATGATCTCTTCTTATGTAACAACTTCAAGACATGAAACTATAAAATAATATAATAATAATAATACATTTTATTCTAAGGCGCCTTTCATGACACCCAAGGACACCGTACAATTTGTTAAAAATAAATAAATAAAGAAAAGAAAAGAAAGAAAAAAAGAAAACGCTAATAGGCAACAGAACATGATAAAAACACAAACAGGAAATCATGGAGGAGACAGTCAAGTGGACACAAATGAAACATATAATGGGGAACACTACAGTGAGTAAGCAGATTTTAACAGGTGGGTTTTTAATTGAGATTTGAATATGGTGATTGTGTCAGACTGTCGGATGTGCAGGGGGAGGGAGTTCCAGAGTCTGGGAGCAGTGCAGCTAAAAGCCCGAGCACCCATGGTGACGAGGCGTGGGGACGGTCAGCAGACCAGCAGAGGAGGAGCGGAGGGAGCGAGAGGGGGTGTACTCCTGAAGAAGGTCAGCCAGATAGGGGGGGGGCAGGTTATGTAGGGCTTTGTAAGTGAGCAGTAGGTTTTTGAAGTTGATACGGGATTGAACAGGGAGCCAGTGGAGTTGGATGAGGATGGGGGTGATGTGTTCGGAGGCCTTGGTGCCGGTGATGATCCGGGCTGCGGAGTTCTGTATGATTTGTAGTTTATTGATGAGCTTGGTGGGTATGCCTGAGAGGATGGCGTTACAGTAGTCGATGCAGGACGTGACAAATGCATTGACCAGGACTTCAGTGTTTGATTAAGTAAGGGATGGGCGGAGTCTGGAGATGTTGCGTATGTGGAAGAAGGCAGTCCGGGTGATGTTATTTATGTGAGGTGAAAATGAGAGGGAGCTGTCCAGGATGACACCAAGGCTCTTAACTTATAAGTGTTAATTGTGTCTAAATAACTACAAATTAGGTATTTATATCTAAGAACATGTTCGCCATTTTAAAGTGAAGTCTTGTTCATAACCAAGAAGCTATTAGTTTGACTCTAATTAGGTATTTCTATCTAAGAATATGTTCCCTATTTTAAAGTGAAGTCTTGTTCATAACCAATAAGCTATTAGTTTGACTCTAATTGACATGAACACGTTCCCTATTCTAAAGTTGCCTCCTCTTCACACTTTGTAAATACACCTCGTTGAAATATCTGTTTTATTAATGAACCACTGAAGAGAGGTTCAGACACATACCAAAACATGTCAAGTTTCTCCAAGGCTGAGAACACATAATGCAGCCTGTACGTTTTAATAAAAACAGATTTTTAACAGATTTTATTTATTTGTGATCATACTGTGTGACCTGCTTGTATGTACTTACACAATAGGTGTACTGCTCTCTCTATGTGTTGTATTGTCTCAGTGTGAACCTAGATTAAACAGCCTGCCAAACTCTTTTGAGAGCCAGGGAATGAGCATCCATGCTCCTTTATTGACTTATTTGCAGTCCACTGACATTCAAACGGAGTGAAACTATACAAAAAGAAGTTACAAGGCACTTAATGATCTCATACAGTTGCAAGAAAAAGTATGTGAACCCTTTGGATTCTCCACACATAGCGTTGTGTGTTCCTTCCAAACAACTCAACTTTGGTTTCATCTGTCCACAAAATATTTTGCCAGTAGTGCATCCAGGTGCTCTTTTGCAAACTTCAAACGTGCAGCAATGTTTTTTCTGGACAGCAGTGGCTTCCTCCGTGGTGTCCTCCCATGAACTCCATTCTTGTTCAGTGTTTTACGTATCGTAGATTCGTCAACAGAGATGTTAGCATGTGCCAGAGATTTCTTTAAGTCTCTAGCTGACACTCTAGGATTCTTCTTCACCTCATTGAGCATTCTGCGCTGTGCTCTTGCAGTCATCTTTACAGGACGGCCACTCCTATGGAGAGTAGAAGGGTTTAGCATTACAACCCTAACCACATATTATTAGATATAAATACCTAATTTTGAATTATTTAGACACAATTAACACTTATAGTTTCATGTCTTGTTAATAAGTGTTATTATGGTAGAATTACTATTCTTGTGGCACTACTGCCTTATTAGGCCCATATTGAGCAGATCATATTAAGACCAAAACTCATGTACAACAACTTCCTTACTTGCAATAAATAAGCACTAATTAGAGGGTTATTGAGGAAAAACTCAACTAATGGCATATTACTTGTAGAATATGGTCATGCAGAATAAAGCATTAATAAGTGTTTTATAATGACTAATAAAGCCAATATACTGCTAATATGCATGTTAATTACTAGTTGATGGTTAATTTGTGTACCTTAATATAAAGTGTTACCGGGTATTTGTGGCAGATAAATGGACCCCCTATGCTTTTTGACATTTCATTCATACTTTCATACTACTTTGGTAACATTAATGGTTGCAGTGACAGGCTCAGTGAGATAAGTGTGGATGATGACTCGAAAAATATTTGGTTTATGCTGCCTATACCGTTTTCTTGAAGGCTGGTTTCTGACTTTTCTCTATTAAAAACCTGCAACTCTTCATACATACTCCCAACCTTAAAAGCCTGCTTCCCGTATTTATTATGCCACATTTCAAAAATCCGGTAGTGACAGTTAGAAAATATATGAAATAAACATGGATTGTATGTTACAAAAATGTTTTAAGGTGACATGAGTGAAAGTGATATTTGAAGAACCAGGCCAAGTAGGGTACTTTACATTGTGAACCGACAGGTGTTTGAGATGGTTATGTCAACTGACAACACTTCAACGATATCTAGTGTTTGCTGCAGTTTCCCTTAGTTTATATTCACATTATTTGTTTAAGACTCAAAACGTTTGGTTATACCTTCATGTGAAGAATGTTGAAGCTTTCTCTTTCCTTCTCCATGTAGTCCTTCTCCACCTGAAAGGCATTTATTTCCTCAGCACACTCTCTCGGAAAGAATTAATCTGGAAGTGAAATCATCATTAACTTGATAACAAGTGATAAACCATTTTATTTTTTTATTAATCCTAACCTTTTTGGTGTAATACAAACTAACAAACAAATGTTACAGCGCATACACCAACCCACCCCCAATGAAGGGGGAGTATTATGTATAGGTATATTTGCTTCTTCTATCTGTACATTTATAAAGAAGATTCATAGAAATATATTTTTTTGAAGTGGCTTGTCTTTGTGTGATTTAATTCATTAACAGCTGTTGACGCTGGTATCGGTTTCACGTGAGTCTGTGTGATTGTCATCATGGCAAAATGTGATCCTGAAGATACCTACTGCATCGGGAACTACCACGGAAGCTGTTTTGAGCCCTTTGTCCAGTGTTTATATTTCTGTTTGTCTGTGGACAGATTCTGTGTTTGTGATAGCTTCGCAATAAACAACATAGTCGATATAAAACCCACTTTACACCACTGGTCAAATGTGGCATTACAAACATTTACAGGTGGGTAGTTGAGTTCAAAACAAAGTCTGAGTTTGAAGATGGGTGTGGAATTAGAAAGGTAGGAAGTGAGGAAGCCTCCCCCTTTCCCCCACCGCTTTACGGCCATGGCCCAATTTGGCGTCACAGCTACTGTTTTACCTCACAACATGGTCTCAAGTTGTGTGTGTTTTTCTCGTTCTGTACTCTAGTGGTGACTTTACCGTGTATTTCAGACACATTGGCAGTTTCACGGAACTGCATCCTGCTGAATGATACTTGTCAGGTATTAAGAAGGATTGTTATTGCTCTGTAGTACAGAACACATGGTTTGTCTCAGCAGAGGGAGTGTGTGTGGGTGGGGACATTCCATTCATTCTTGCTCTTCCTGAGGAAAGAAGGAAATCATCACGCGCACACAACTGCCGACAGGAGGCAGAGGAGAGGTGCAGCTACACACCTCTAAGGTCATTCACACATCCGCCTCTTCTTTTACCTCTCCACCCGTTAACCCACACATCAATGCACCCATCCGTCACGGTAGTTTCATTCCGACAGCTGTACATGCCTCTGTGCGAGAGAGAGGGCACGTTGCATTAGCACTTATTGTTTAAGCTTGTGTGATCATTTAGGCCACAGGAGTCTGCTTACATGAGGGGAAAAACGTTACCACATTAGTTATTTAACAATTTGCTTCTCTCTCTCAGCTGTGAATGCATGAATACACACACGCGCAGAAGCAAGGAGGATGCCAACCAGAACAGAGGCTCCTCAAAGCTCCACAGGGGCAGCTACGCCAGCACTGACGCACTGCTGCTCTCCTGCCAGCTGACGGCCACTGAACACTCATAATGGTTGTTTTCTTCTCGGTAGTTTGGGGTATAATATCTCTTTGTTTTCATCAGAGAGAACGGTAATATTTGCTCCTATATATTTTGGTCCTTCTATTAACTTCACTCACCATCTGGTTTTAATGATTACACCTTTCAATGGCTTTTTATTTTTTGTAAATATATAGAAACCATTTGAAATAATTTGCAAAACACACACGCACACACTTAAAGACTCACAGAGCTGCATACTGTACACTTCTGTCAGAAGATTTCTACATTTTACAGAAAGCTTTTTACAAAGCAAACAATCATTTCAAGAATGATCACACAAGCAGTATTGTCGTTATGAGAATAAACAACATTGAGCACACAGAAGTATACAGTCAAACGGGACAATTTAGTTCTTGCAGCACGGTGGCTACTAAAAGGTTCAAACTGTCCAACTGACAAGTTGCTCAGGTTTTCAGACTTAGCTTTTAAAGATGGCAGGGCGTCCGTATTTCTGTGTATCACTGTGACAGGCTCAAACATACCGTCTCTACATCCTCAAAATCTCAAGCCTGTTCCTCTTTGCGTCTTCCTCACTGACTTGTTTGAGATGTGCTTCACCTTGTTTCACCCAGAAGAGATTTCTCCGTTTGTGTCTATTTCACAGGGGTTTGTTCCGGCTCTCTGTGCTCTGATGTACAGCCTCAGGAAGTCTTTGTATCGAGGTGCACAGCCAAGCCAGGCTTCACCAAAATGTACGGAGCCAGTCAGAAGGTACTCGTCCCCTCCAGGGTGCCCGATGCATTGTGAGGGAACATTGATGCGTCCCCCCCAGCCCCGCTTCCTGGCTCCCCCCCGAGCAAACACCCTGCTCTTCTGGCGGAACAGCCGACTCAGAGTCACCGCAGCAGGGGAGCGGTTTTTAGATCCCACACCTCGAAAGATGCCACTGCCAGCTACAGATACAGGAGCAGGAGAAGGAGATTAAATGAATGACTCAGAGATAGTAACAATGAAAGTGTGTGAATAATAATGGGGCAATGTAGCCGTTGAAATCAATCAATCTTCCTTTTTTTCAAGATTCAAGGCTTTATTGTCATGTGCACAGTAGCTACAGTGTAGATCTGGCAAAGAAAAACTTAAGTCACAGGCTCCTCCAACAATGCAACATGAATATATATGGCATAAAACAAATAAAATAGTGCAAGAGAATGTTTTGAGATGTGCAAGTAAATACAAAGAAAATAGAAATAGTGCAAGAAGAGTCTATGTACAAGTACATTTCGACAAATTCTAAATTTAAATAAATAGGCAATAAAACATACTCTTACGCAATTCTTTAAACATATAGATACAGCTACGGTAGCTAACGTTGGCTATAGCTACTTTAGATTGATACTGTTGTGCAATAAAGTGAGTTTTCTGCTACATTTAGCTTATTCAGATCACATACCTTTGATGTATTTAAAGAAACATACTCAAATAATCTTGAAAGATGTATAAAAAAGTCCAAAAGAGTAATATTCTTTCATTGCCCTAATGACCACTGTTTAGTAAAAGTAGCTTGGAGACAATTAGCTTAGCTTAGCATAACAACTGAACACAGCTGGTAACTTTCAAGATATCATGTGCTAATTTATGAGCTTAAGAGCTGCATGTTGGATGGTTTGGTTTCCTTTAGACAGCTGCTGGCTGTAGCTTCAGATTTTACCGCACAGACATGACAGTCGATTTATCTTCTTGTCTTACTTGGCAAGAAAGGGATTAAGCGTATTTCTATAAACTACAAACTATTCCTGTAATATATATGTTTGTGTGTGTGCATCTGTTTACCAAAGTCACTGGTACACACTGCCATAAGGACCTCTTCACCTGAACAGGGTTTACAGGTAACTATAATGGGAAAACAGAAAAAAAGGCAACATGAAATACTTAACACATTACTTAAAAAACAATTTCTTATTGTCACAATACATTTTCTCTCCTTATTAATATCTGTATCATCCTGGGAGTTTTTTCACCCTTTGTCTGCTTCCTGTTCTCTCTTTTTCTCTGTCTTGGCGGGTGTTTACGAGACAAAAAAGACATCAGGAGAGAGTGTGTGAATGTGAATGAGAACAGCAGGTGAGGGAAGAGACGTAATCACTGAATTACCCCCTGACCCTGTCAGCTATAAAAACAGCTATAAAAGCTCCAGACACACAGACAGACAGGCGTGGACAGGCTTTCTTCTGTCTCATTAGGAGGGCAGTCCTGCCTTCCTCTCCACCCTCCTTCAGACCATTCTACTCATACGGGTGGGCTACCCCAAATCCCCTTCTTTAGGGGCGGTGGTCTGCTCTTGATTGACAGTTGAGAGACGATTGGCTGACCTTTGTGCTTGACCCTAACGTGACCTTTTGATTGGCCTGCTTGTTTTCATAAGTCTGGCTGAGACAAGGGAGTGTGGGAGTGAGGAAGTGGGGGGAGGGGGGGGGTGTGTGTCAGAGAGGAGCACCATGTAGGTGAGATGAAGAAATGGGGACGAACAGTAACGTGGCCTTCTGTCAACTTCCCTTTATGTCAGTAAGAAGACGGCCTGTGTAAAGTACGAGGAGTTTAACCGACCACTTTAAGAGTACTGACACTTACTTGAGATAGATGTATTGCCATAAATATTTATACTACTCCATTTTTTTTAGATGATATTAAATCAAACCTTACTAGCTTATACTGCACAAAGTATGTGAACAGATGTTTTGGTATAGTTTCGCTGTTGTTAAAAGTAGCCCATAAAACCTTAATTCATCAAGATTCTCTCAGTTTATGAATAAACTAAGAGATAAAACATTGAAGCATATGGAAAACATATATATAAATGTTAATTTAGGGTCTGGAGTAATCTTTAAAATGTCAAAAGGAAAAGTACTCCTCATGCAGGATGGTTCTTTTAAAATTAGATTATTAGTTTTATGTATTTACATGTAACGGTACTTTCCTAATGTAGCTGGTAATTCAGTAGCTAACTTCATAAACTAGTTTATTCTATGAAACTGCATCATATGTAATAAGCTAATCTTCTTTGTAAACTCTTAATCTAAAAAGGTAACTATAGTTTTTTTTATTTAGTAATATAGTGGAGTAAAACACATTTTTGCTTTGAAATGTACTGGTGGTATAGAAGTATACTAAATCAAGGTCAAATGAAAATACACAATGTTAAAGTTGTATATACAGTAAGTACAACAGTTGAGTAGATTCACATAAATCTCTTCATCCTACATGTAAGAACCATGAAGAATGGCTGCTTGCATTCCCTCACCTAAACCAGGGTGCAGGTACGGGTACATGTGTGCCCCGGGACCCTGACTGGGCACCAGCTCGTACTGGAAAGCCGTGATCCTCCGGCTGATGTCTGCCTGGGGGACGGACTCCACAAAGAGAGCCCCCTCTGCCAGGCTGAAGCAGGTCACTGTGCCCTGAGCCTGGTCCTTCTCTGCCAGCAGCATCCTCAGGTCCCCGTTATTCTCCAGAAACACATGAGAGCCCTGCACATGGAGGGAGGACACACGTGAGCACCACCCATCTGATCGCATCACACTGCAATGGTCATTTTCTGATGTCTCGCTCTTACCTGGGAGAGAGGGTGGGGTTTGATGCACACATGGAGACCTGCCACGTGTCCTGATGGGGGCTCTGTGTTTGGCCGCAGGTTGATAATGATGGCTCCCGTGGGGTAGAGCCACTCCAGAGAGCCCTGAGAGCAGCGCAGGTAGACCTGCTCCACGTCCCTGCGGTGAGACTCGTGGCTCAAACCACTGCAGAGGAGAAGACACATTTACTTTTAATATGTTTTTGCCATGTGGTTTCGTCTCTGATCCAGAGTGAGGAACATAATCAAATGCCTAAGATCACCAACAACAAGGGAACGCACGGAAGGGGTTCTTTGATATTGCAAAGTTCATTAAGATCAAGTCTAGTGCAGCTGTCTGCTGACTAATCTGTCGCTGTCCTCTGATGTGCACAAGTTACATCAACCCGAGGAACTGATTGGGCTATTAAGTCGTAAGAAGTTTGCCGCTGGTAAACTTTACAACACAGAGGGTGCTGAGGACCGGCTTTCATATTTTATGACTTACAGACTTGGAAAAGTGATCAAAGGGGCCATATAGCTGTATTTACTTAAGGTAGGAACTGAAGCAGAGACATTCCTATATGTAAGAGGCTTATGATATGATTCAAAGTCAAGTTAAAGCACCTTGTTTACACTTATAATGGGTTGAACCATCCTTGATAGCAATTTTCCTCTTGGAGAAGAGTGATTGTCTAAAATGATGTAATGTTTTTTATATGCAACACTGAGCTCTGTCTGTGAAGTAACCACAAGTAAGGGCACAAAGCAGGCCAAAAACATCTGTACTAGTTTCCATTCCATCAGAATATGAAACCTTGTTTTTTTTTACTCTGACCTTCCAGTGGCCTTCCTGGAGATTATATTAACTCTTAATCAAACATACATGCGTCTAATTACTCCTTTGAACCAGCTGAAATCCAGAGTAATGCACAGCAGAGCCACTTCAAAGACACAGCCTCCCTCTCACACGACTGCAGTCCCTTTCATGATTACACTGCATTTACAGAATGTCATTTCCATGGGTTAAAGTAAAAACACACATGATAGATCAAAAACAATCAAAAAACCTTCTTTTCAAATGTAAGAAAGTGTATAACATGTGTGTTTTAAATTAAAAACAAAACAAATCTGGGATAAATAAAGACAAGTACATCTAATCTTATTTCTTTGTTGAAACCGTACTTTGCATGGCAATAGAGAATATTATCCAAACTTAGATGCCCATAAGTCCTTTCTCCAGGTTTTTCCTCACCTTCCTCTCCAGCTGCACTGGTCGCTGGAGTACTGTGCCCCCGCCATGCACAGGAGCACAGCCGTGATCCAGAGCGCACCCAACGGCCGGAGCATGGTGTCCTGTCCGCCGCGGCGCTCCCCGAGTCCCGCACAGCAGACCTCCGAGCAGCGCGCTCTGCTGCTCCCGAACAGCAAGATCCCGTAAAAAAAAGTCCCACAGAGCTCCGTTCAGCGCGAGCGCTTACGCTACATGGCGGGTTTAGTCGAGGCTGAGGTCGCTAGTGTGACTGAAAAACATTTTGACACGAAGTTTGTAAAATAAGTATCCAAGAGAGCGCGCGCAGCAGGACGACAGACTTGTTTAAAAACTCCTGCTCTGTGGAGCGCGTGCCAGCTGCTGAGTCCACTTGAGCGACACGCGAGCGCTCGCTTCAAACCACGCCCACACAACCACCGGGACATGTGTGTGGAGAAAGCCCTCGAGGACTCACTTCTAATACCACCAGACTTTTACACACATTTAAATTGGACGGTTTGGACCTACATTGAAGAGCATTTAGCCAAAGCTCGTCACACTGGTTATAAGTTATTAGCATATATGTTTGAATCATAGCATAAGGTAATAAAAAACTTGCCCCACAAATAGCCAATGCACAAATAAAATTCGCCTTCAATAAAGAAAATTCGACAAACGCCCATGAAAGTAAACACAATATGGCTGCTTTTAAAGCATTTTACTTCTATTCCTTTTAGCCAATGCCCCGTGTATTTGCCAAGCTTTCTAGGGGAAGTTTGGCAGCTGCTTTTTAAGTCCTACAGGTCTTAAGATGCCAGAGAGAAACAGCACAAAACAATTTCAGTGTGTTAGCGTTATAAACAGATCAATCAATCAATGTTTATTTATATAGCCCAATATCACAAATGTTACATTTGTCTCAGTGGACGTCACAGTTTGTACAGAATATCAGTATGACAATACGACACCCTCTGTCCTTAGACCCTCACATCGTACAAGGAAAAACTTCCGGAGAAAACCCACAGTTTAAAGGGAAAAATGGGAGAAACCTCAGGGAGAGCAACAGAGGAGGGATCCCTCTCCCAGGACGGACAGACGTGCAATAGATGCCGTGTGTAAATTGAAAAGATAATAGCCTACATTTGCAACATAGGTAGTCCAAATGTTTGGAAATGCATGTGTGTATAATAGGAAGATGAATCCACGAGGATATCCATCCAGGACCTATGATCCAGGACCACAGCCACGACTCAAGATCCAGGGCTCGCGATCCAGGACAGAGGAGCGCAGGATCATCCATGACTCCGGATCCCGGCGTATATATACACCAAAAAGAAAGACATTTGGGGAAGCTGGGTTAATTGGAACATGAGAGTACACAGGTATAGACAGAGAGAAGGAAGAAGTAAGATGTCCCCCGACAAACTAAGCCTATATCAGCAAAACTAGGGGCTGAATCTAATCAGCCCTAACTATAAGCTTTATCAAAAAGGAAGGTCTTAAGCGCACTCTTAAAAACGGATAGGGTGTCTGCCGCCCGAACACAAACTGGAAGCTGTTTCCACAAATGTGGAGCCTGATAAGAAAAGGCTCTGGCTCCCATTGTACTTTTAGAGACTCTAGGAACAACCAACAACCCTGCATCCTTGGAACGCAATGCCCTAGTAGGACAGTAGGGTATAATGAGTTCTTTAAGGTAAGATGGCGCCTGCCCATTAAGGGCTTTGTAGGCGAGAAGAAGAATTTTAAATTCTATCCTCTGTTCTATAGGGAGCCAGTGTAAGGCAGCCAGAACAGGAGTAATGTGGTCCCTTTTCCTAACTCTGGTTAGTACACGAGCTGCAGCATTTTGAATCAGCTGAAGCGACTTGACTGACTTCTTGGTACACCCTGATAATAAAGAGTTACAATAATCCAGCCTTGAAGTAACAAATGAATGGACTAGTTTCTCTGCATCGTTTTGAAGCAAGATATGCCTGATTTTTGCAATGTTACATAGATGGAAGTAGGCGGTCCTTGAAATTGATGGATCATATTATCGCAGGGAAAATTAGAGCAGCTCTCTCAAACATGCACAAAAACCTCTTTTACAAAGATTGGAATGATTTGTTTATTTTATTGGCCATGGGATTTAGGTATGTCTTTTTGTGTAGCCTATTTTAATGGAGATTGAATATGGCTGCCTGTATCATGATATTTCACTATGAAGCTCCTTAGGAAAAAAGGCCCTGACGTAATGTGAAGTTGCACATGTGCTCTAAATGTCTGTTTGGATCTCGGAAGGTTTTCCCGTGAGAAAACAGTCAGACCAGCAAGTATGTTACTGAGTCGTCACATTCCCCCACACTGCCAGAGCTATGTAACGCATTTCGAGAAATACCGAACCCCTCCCCCCTTCTCCACACACACACACACACACACACACACACACACACACCACACACACACACACACACACACACACACACACACACACACACACACACACACACACACACACACACACACACACACACACACACCACACACACACACACACACACACACACACACACACACACACACACACACACACACACACACACACACACACACACACACACACACACACACACACACACTTTCATTATAGCTCTGTGGAAATGTGATTTTCCAATACTGCTACAGTGCTGTTATTAGTGTATTAAATTAGCCATTTATTTTAAGAAATCAAATCAAACTACATTAATTTGTCCACCCTTTTTGTTGGTCTGGAGGATGCTGTGCAATAGGCTAAAACAAAAGCAACAACTATAGGCTTAACTTTAAAACACCCACACTCAAATTATTACATGGAAACTGAGTCACAGACTAAAATTAGTTTAAAAAAAGGCAACATTTATAAAGGGTTCCTAGGTTTATATGGCTTTATAGATAAGTTATGGGCCATTAATAATGAGGTCAACATTTGGGATAAAGGGTTGGAAGAATCCCTTTGACTTATTGGACCATAGGACCACTTTCATCTATTTATGAAAGGATTACCATCATTTATAACTGCAACAATACAAGAGCAAACAAGCAGCAAGACATTTGTCATAACCATAGAGCCCACAATGTGTCCTTATTAACTGCTATTTAAATATATGCAGTCATGTAAAACATTGGCATTTGATTAATTTCCCAACAATGAAACCATAGTTTCTTTATAAACCCTGAATAAAAGATTACTTTTAAAAAAGTGGAACCAAAAATCATTTCTTTAAAGTAAACGTCTTACAGTTTTAATTTAAATAATTTTCTGTTAAGTTATTGTCGCCAAATTAGGCACACATCACTGACTCACTGTCTTTGTGTTGGCATTTTTATGAACTGGGTATCCCTGACATTCCTGGGAAAAATCACAAGTGTCAATCACTGGACAGTGAGATACAAAAACAAACGTGCAGTTACCACTTAACGTCATAGGTGCCGCCATAGAGGGCACAATTACATTTTTTAGATTGTAATTTACGAAAACGGTACCGAAGGAGTGGCAGACCGGGGTGGTGGTCCCCCTTTTTAAAAAGGGGGATCAGAGGGTGTGTGCCAATTACAGAGGCATCACACTACTCAGCCTCCCCGGGAAAGTTTACTCTAAGGTACTCGAAAGGAGGGTCAGGCCGATTGTCGAACCTCAGATTGAGGAGGAACAATGCGGATTCCGTCCTGGTCGTGGAACGACGGATCAGCTTTTTACTCTCGCAAGGATCCTGGAGGGGGCCTGGAGTACGCTTATCCGGTCTACATGTGTTTTGTAGACTTGGAGAAGGCGTATGACCGAGTTCCCAGGGAGTTACTGTGGGAGGTGCTGCGGGAGTATGGGGTGAGGGGGTCTCTACTCAGGGCCATCCAATCTCTGTACTCCCAAAGCGAGAGCTGTGTCCGGGTCCTCGGCAGTAAGTCGGACCCATTTCCGGTGAGGGTTGGCCTCCGCCAGGGCTGTGCTTTGTCACCAATCCTGTTTGTAATATACATGGATCGGATTTCGAGGCGTAGTCATGGGGGAGGGGGTCTGCAGTTCGGTGGACTAAGGATTGCACCACTGCTTTTTGCAGATGATGTGGTTCTAATGGCTTCATCGGTCTGCGACCTTCAGCACTCACTGGATCGGTTCGCAACCGAGTGTGAAGCGGCTGGGATGAGGATCAGCACCTCCAAATCTGAGGCCATGGTTCTCAGCAGGAAACCGATGGACTGTCCACTTCAAGTAGGGAATGAGTCCTTACTCCAAGTGAAGGAGTTCAAGTATCTCGGGGTCTTGTTCTCGAGTGAGGGAACAATGGAGCGTGAGATGGGCCGGAGAATCGGAGCAGCGGGAGCGGTACTGCAGTCGCTTTACCGCACCGTTGTGACGAAAAGGGAGCTGAGCCAGAAGGCAAAGCTCTCTGTCTACCGGGCCATTTTCGTTCCTACCCTCACCTATGGTCATGAAGGATGGGTCATGACCGAAAGAACGAGATCGCGGATACAAGCGGCCGAGATGGGTTTTCTCCGCAGGGTGGCTGGTGTCTCCCTTAGGGATAAGGTGAGAAGTTCGGTCATCAGGGAGGGACTCGGAGTTGAGCCGCTCCTCCTTCGCGTCGAAAGGAGCCAGTTGAGGTGGTTCGGGCACCTAGTTAGGATGCCACCTGGGCGCCTCCCTAGGGAGGTGTTCCAGGCACGTCCAGCTGGGAAGAGACCAAGGGGTAGACCTAGGACCAGGTGGAGGGATTATATCTCTTCGCTGGCCTGGGAGCGCCTTGGGATCCCCCAGTCAGAGCTGGTTGATGTCGCCAGGGAAAAGAAAGTTTGGGGCTCTCTGCTGGAACTGCTACCCCCGCGACCCGACCACGGATAAGCGGAAGAAGATGGATGGATGGATGGATGTAATTTACACAAATGTATTGTGAATGTCTGTAAATATATGAACAGGGTATAAACATTGCTATTTGAATGATGACTTGAATCATGTTTGCCACAATTGGACTGAGGGAGGACTTAGCCCAGGAGTGCTGAGAATCTCCCTACAAAATAACCAGTCAGGTAGGGTGATGCCCTACACTTTAATTCCCTCTGTTTCATTATCCCATCTAACACATTTCCCCCAGTCACAGGATTTGAAAAACATATGGTGTAACATTGATTTCCCCATAAACACGACTGGTCCTAAAGCTCTGGAGGCTGCAGAGGGAGTCTGACCCAGGTCTAATCCTGTCCCCGCAGCAGAGGAAGTCCAAGCTGCTGATGTGCGGTTTGACCTCATGCGCTCTTCACCATTTGAAGTATTTACAGAGCAGCAGAGCCTCTGACCTGCCCCCTCACCCCCCTGCTGTCACCTGGCTCCTCTCAAGTGGCCTGACAGGAGGAACGCTGTCTCACACACGCACACACCTCACTATCTCTGATTACAATCTTCTTGACCTTTCTTTCCTCATTACCTGCACAAAGCACACTCCTCTCTCTATTTTTTAACATCTTTATTTACCGATTGGGGTCAACTAAGTCACTGGATCTTTTAGTGGCTTCAGTGCCTTGCTCAAGATGACAGTTATATGTCCAGTATTCAACTTCATACTGGACAACAAAGAAGAATGCATTACCTATAAAAGCAGATCAACTGAGAAACAGTTTTCAAGATGACCGCACATACTACATTACTGCATATAAAAGAAAGATTTTAAACCTAAAATGTAACCAATATAAGACCTAAAATAGTTATTATGAATTTTGTTTTTAGACAGACTTTAGGGTACAAAAAATACCCCCTATATGTAGTGACATAATGTATACAGCCAATATCTCCAACAATCAGTGATTCACAGAGTTGAAAAATCTGTGTTTTTAATTTTGGGCTGAACTGACCTTTCAAGTCCATTTAGCTAGCTAGCAGCTAAATCTCACTAGCTAGCTTTAACCTGATACACGTTAGCTCTCCTTCCTAAGTTTTATATCTCTCTTTTACGTTTATATGTGAAATTATACATTTCTATGGCATACTGTAACATTTTATAGAAAAAATGCGGAGAAGCTATATTCTGGACTTTATCAACATTTTGCATAATGCTATTCTAAACTTTTTGTCGACCAGTTTAGAATAGTCCAATGAATAACAGTGTGTCTCTCCTTTTACTGACAGTCGTTGTCCACACACACACACACACACACACACACACACACACTAACACCACAACACACACACACACACCACACACACACACAACACACACACCACACACACCACACACACACACCACACACACACACACCACACACACACACACACACACACCACACCACACACACACCACACACACACACACACACACACACACACACCACACACACACACACACACACCCACACACACACACACACACACACACACACACACACACACACACACACACACACACACACATCTTAATTCCATACAGAGTGTTGAAACATAGGAATGTGGTGAAGTTCCAGGTAAACAAAAAAGCCTTCAGTGTCCGACCTCTGTGAGCTCTCTTCACCCGAACACACCGACTCTTTCTCTTATCAGCTGCACAGCCAGAGGACACGCAGCTGTGTAAGTGCATATGGGAGTGTGTGTGTGCATTTCTCCATACACATTCAGGTTTATTTGACCAGTGAGGGCAAGCAGGCTCCAGGGTCAGGGTCATTCATTGTGTGTGTGTTATCAGGTCTGATGTCTGCAGAGAGACGGAGTGTAAACACTGAGTAAAGCTCTGTTTACTCTCTATCTGAGCTTCTTTCATAGTTTCTCCATTAGAGCTCGCTCTCATCGACCAAGTGCTTAATCATGAGGGCAGAGAGGGTGGAGGAGACAGGATGTATTTAGAGAGACGGTGGTCTAATTTAAACAAAATATTTTGGTTGGTTACATTATAAAATATATAGCATCCATTTAGTTGACGAGTATGGATAAGACAGAGGATCATCTGAGTCTTTAGGATTCATCTTCTGAGGAACATGAATGTCTGTACACATTACAACTTCCTGGCAATCCATCAAATAGTTGTTGTAGTGGGCTAACTGACGGACAGACAGACATTTGTTGGAAAACGCACAAAAAACATAACTTTTGTGTAAAATATAATACGTACAAATGTTAATACGTTACCTGCGAACTAACTGCGAGCCAGATGATAGGTCAAATAATTATTTGCTGATAAAACAGAAAAGGATTCCACATAACTCTATTGTTGAGGTCCTTTTATTGCAGATCATTTTGTTCAGTTTGTTTTAAGCCATTTATTAAGCAAAATCATGCAGTTTATTAGTGTCGTGTGACATTAAACTAAAACTCCTTTAGTTTCAGACTGTTGGTAAGATAAATTAAGCTTTAAAAAAATGTCAGCTTGGGTTTTGGAAACATTTAACGGCATTTACTATTTCTTAAAATGGTTGTAGAGTAAACAATGAATCGAGAAACTAATCATCAGACGAATGACGTCATTATTACTTGCGGCCCTACTGTAAAGAATTCCATCTCTGTGGAAGACACCTTCCTGTTTTAGTGTTTGCGTGCACAAACAGAGGGAAGAGGGGTCTAAATGGAGACCGAGTGCTAAGTGGATGTGATATTTTTCTCAGCCCCAACACGGCACTGTACTGGGGGTGGCAGAGGCAGAGGCCTCGGGTTCCTCCCCCCCCCCCCTCAGGTCCAAACAGTCCCGCAGTTTATCAAACAGTGGGCCTACTTACTATGTAACAAAATGGTTTCTCTGCATTTGACCCATCCTAGTGTTAGGAGCAGTGGGCTGCCATTATGAACGGCGCCCGGGGACTCCGAGCCTAACCTCTAATACGGCACACTGTGTTCAGTATATAACAAACAAACTTTTGAAAATAAAAGTTTAGCGGAGTCGAAGACCCTTTTTTCTGCCACTGTTGCCTCCTTGCAAACTGCTGCGGCCACATTTACAGTAAGGCAGACCACGTCTCTGACCCAGGAAACATTGGGGGAGATTTTGTGGGTAAAGGTCTGTTTACCTTTGGGCGGAAAAACTCCACACTCTGTGAGGTAAAATAAACTTTTTATGCGTGTTTATGTATCTGAACTGTGCTCTCTTAAAGAGGTTATTGTTCTTCAGATTTCATAAGAGACCCCGGGAAAGAAAAACAAATACATGCAGTATCCATGTTTGTACATTTGCAGCAGCTGTGTGCGTGTATCTGATTTTGCATGGTTGCATCAGCGAAGGCTATTGAGAAATCGGAGTGATTCCGGTTATAAAACATCCCGCCCTTTATAAGTTAAACCTTCTGTGATGGTGCTGACTCACATGGCTTCCTCTAACTTCAACACTAGTTCAAGCGTACAGGTTGGCAAATACCAATCTCCGGGCACACAGGGTTAGAAAACATAGAAACATTTTATTCCTACAACATCGGCAACAGAAATATCCTCTGGCATGAGAAACAGATCCTTCTTTTGGCATGAAAACCAAAGTTCAAGTTTTTTTTATGAAATAGGTTGGTATTTGGGGGAAATAAACATACTTACTTCTTCCCTGTTCTCACTTCTTTCAATCTAATCTGTTGAGCAGAATGAAGCCACAGGCTGGATGGTTAGCGTACTTTAGCACAAAGTTTGTTTGATTCTTACAAAAATGAGTACGTTAAAACAGGATACAAAAACCTGGAAATTAAAGAACATTCTGGGTTATACAATACTCCCCATTCTTATTTTTTGTATGAATAAAACAAATGTGATATGATGTGTTAAATATTCCTAATTACTCCTGCATGGTTCAGCTAAACTCAACACGACTCAACCCCTTTTGGCAGATGATGTTTTTTTCTATATCGTTTTCCACTGTGGATAGTACTCAATGTAGGTGGGAGTCTTACCTGACTGTCATAGTGACGTTAGGTAGCGTAACATCCTCTTCAACGCAGCACAGCGCACAATACTCCATTCTTTCATCCCAAACCTAACAGAGGAACAGCTGCTGAATTATGAACATGACAGGATTTAGCCTGTGTTCTTTTTTTAAATCTTGGTCTTGTAATTTAGAAAAATGACTTGGCTAATCAAGAATAGCGGGTTAGAGCAGGATGTCGCAGTTTTGTAAGTTCCCTCTGAGCAACCAGTGGTATGCACTGCACAAAAAAGTACTATAAAGAACTTTTCCTAATTAGAATATGGAAAAGAAAGGTCTCATGTCGTGCCTTAGCATGCGTAATGTGGCAGGAGCGTGCTTTGGTGCACTGTTTCCAGGCTTGCTTCTCCTGGCTGTAACCTCATATTTAATTAACAGAACTGAGAGAGTGTTCTCATCTAACAAAGATAGCTATCTCACTATTGTGGTGGAGGAAACAGGGCTGGGATAAAACTGTTTTGCTTTCATCAGCGGTTGCGTCAACTTTGCACTTTTACATTTTCACACCAATTTCCACAGATAGAAAGAATCTTTTAACGCTTAAAACATACATTAAAATGTACTCTTTCCCTAGCCTTGGTAGAGTTATTGTGCCAGTGTTTAGTTCACTCCTTTCTTATCACCTGTCTATCCCTCAGTCTGTGTGCATTCCTCTTCTAAAGCAGCAGGGCTCCTCTTCACGTCTCCATCACTCTGAGCTGTCAGTTGAAATGGTAGTAATCAGTTCCTTCCTTTAGCTGCAAGGAGTTGAGGTTTTCCTCCAGAACGCCTCCTGTCATGTCCTACGATGAAGGAACAGAAACATAAAACATGGTAGAAGGTGAAAAAAATCCACACAAAGCTATTATAGGATTGTTTGCCCTTTAACTCTTCCATGCTTTATCTCTTTGATGAAGGTCCTTGTTATCTTCAGTATTTTAACTGCACTGAATACAAGTTAAAGGTTATGTACAGGCTAAAGACTTCGAGAGTCACCAACAGTAATTTGACCATGAGAAATGTTAAAAGCTCAAATGAATTGTATATTTGTTAATTATAGTTATTTGACATCTGGATATAAAAAAATAGTTTGATTGAGTCCAGGTGTTCTTTTCATGAATTATCATGTTTGTCATGGTGAGTGGGTGTATGTATGTATGTGTGTATGTGTGTGTGTGTGTGTGTGTGTGTGTGTGTGTGTGTGTGTGTGTGTGTGTGTGTGTGTGTGTGTGTGTGTGTGTGTGTGTGTGTGTGTGTGTGTGTGTGCCATAGGAGAGGGAGAATGATGGAGTCCAGGTCTCTTTTTCTTCTGCCTATGATTACTTCTCCCAATTCCCATAATTGAGCAATTAGTAGCCCCCGTAGGTGGGGTCACTCTAGATTTGAGGTCTGAATCTGGCTAGGTGATAAATAGGCAATTAGGGATTTGGCTGCCAGAACAGCAGAATGTGCGTGTGTGTGTGTGTGTGTGTGTGTGTGTGTGTGTGTGTGTGTGTGTGTGTGTGTGTGTGTGTGTATCTATCTATGGTAAAGCTAGCTACAGATATTGGCAGGATTTGGGAGCACAAAATGTACAAATATGAACGGTGGCAAAGTCATCAGTTGTTTGTATAAGTGCCATGTGATCAAAGACCAGGCTGCTGTCTCTACCCATTTCCTGACTGCCCCCAGTGTGTGTGTGTGTGTGTGTGTGTGTGTGTGTGTGTGTGTGTGTGTGTGTGTGTGTGTGTGTGTATGTCCTGTGCCGGGCACACGCCCTTGATCATTATGTCGTTAACTCAGATTACAGACCTGAGGGACAGGCGGTCAGAAACAGCAAACATACAACACACAAACACGCTTTCTGCTCACCAGTTTTACACAGATAATGAAGGGGGCCGAGGCGTCTTTGTAGTGTAGAACTGGGACTTTTGGCTTGGGTCTTTGCTGGATGATATCAAAAGAAAGACACAGAAAACCAAAAAATTAGTGTTTTTCACATCTTCATAATAATCTAAACCACTGCAATAAAGTTGTTTCATTTGAATCAAAGCTTATCATTTGTCGTGCTTGCAAAAAAAACAGACCTTGTACTTAGAATCAACAGTAGCTGATCTCACCTCAGAGTCCTCATATGTGTAAAAACCTTTCTGGATCTTGTTCTCATCGACATCACAGAAAGCCTTCACCTTATGAGTAAAGCAGAATATTTTTAGCTTGAAAGCTGACGCACTCTCACATCACGTCAGACTTTTTCCACTACAGTAGGAAGACTAATAGAGCTAACTAAAAGTAACTATTATAATGTTTCACATCAATCTGCATAGCCAGAGGTTGCATACCTTCTTTTGATTGGTCGGGCTCAGGCTTCGGTACAGCTTCCGGCCCTGTTTCCCAGCGTTCCATATGGTGAAGCTCTCCCATTGGCTGAGAACTCTCTCCTGTAGGAAGTCCACTCGCAGCTTCCAAATGGTTTCCCTGGAAACAGCGGTGAAGACTGAAGGATTAAGGGATGGATGGAGAAGCAGGTAGCTCATTAGCTTAATGCTACATTATGAAAAGATGAGATGGTGTCTTTAAAACTAAGAAAAGACTGTTGAATTTATCCTGAAATTGTTTCATTTTGACTGAAAAGGGAAACACTGACAGATTTACTACGTTCTCTTAAAGGTATACCGCATGTACTAATACCCAGATCATATTATGAAAAATGATGTTTAGCTAAATCAGGTAAGACAAGCAATTGGTAGAGATAGTGAACCCAAAACAATATATATTTCTAGTTGAACTGTCAATAGTCATTCATCAGTGGTTGTTCTTCGCATCCTATCTGATGATCTGATTCATTTGACTTCTCTTTGGCGAATAAGCCAAGTTCCCCCAACTCAGCAATTACTTTAAATAATACAATGTATTCACAGCTGAAAGAAAGCTATAACCACAATAAAAGTAAAGGTATCAAATCCGAAACCTGCTTTCTGTATCAAATCATTATCACCTCTTTAAATCGATTTCCTTGAAGCATGCACTGCATTACATTAAACTATGACTCATAAACAGCAGTTTGATTTCTTTTGGTAGATGGAAAGAATGTGTCTGTTTTAAATTAGCTTGTTTTCCTGTTGCTTTGCACTTTGACTGATTTACAAAGCTGTGCACGTGCCTCACACCCACAAACACACGCACACAAACTGATGTTGAGTAATTATACGGACACATTCACAGGACGTGCTCTGCTCTCATCTTCTGAAGTGAGCGTCTTAGTGGTTCTAACAGTGGGCCTCATATGACAAACAAACCCACCGCCATCAGGGAGCGCGGGTGGTCCGCGGATCGCTTTTCTGTTCATTTGTGTTGATTCCGAGACATGGCAGTAACATGGCAGAGATTTACTATAAACTGTATGTGTATACACATACTGAAACCTTCATCAATACCCTGCAGATCAAAAGGCAGACACACTTTCGTGCACTCTAACACACAAGGGGATGGGTACACACTCATTTATAAACAAAGCCTTTCTGTGTTAAGAAGCCTCTCATCTCAGTTCCTCTTTTGAACCATCTTAACCTTTTAAAAACACACTTCTCACCTCACGGAAAGAGATTTTATTATCACATGATGTGTGTGTGTGGGTGTGCATGTTTGATAGACAGAAAGAAGGTGAAGGTTTCTTTTGACCAAAGAGGAAGTAGGCACTCGGTGGAGGGGAAGGGGTGACAAGAATTAGGGGAGAGTGGAAAGTAGGCAAGGCACGGCTTAAAATAAGTGTCCGTAAATAGACAGATGATAGATGAAGACAGCGAGGGAGATGATGGGTGAAGACATGCGTCAACAGGGGAAGATATACGAGAAGTTGACAGACGAAGAAGAGAAAGGAAGTAAGCAGGAAGGAAGGAAGGAGGAAAGGAAGGAGGGGATGAAAGGGATGGAGGCGTGGAGGGGGTGGAGGAATGACCTTCTTCTTTGGTGTGTTTTACCATTTGAGGCATTCACACCCACCTGCAGACACTACATGGCCTTGTTGAAGCACAGGCAACAGCATTCTCCAGACACACACACGTCGCGCACACACACGTCTCGCACACACACACACACACACACACACACACACACACACACACACACACACACACACACACACACACACACACACACACACACACACACACACACACACACACACACACACACACACACACACACACACACACACACACACACACACAACACACACACACACACACACACACAACACACACACACACACACACACACACACACACACACACACACACACACACACACACACAGTAGTTCGAAAAGAAAATATCTGATTCCCTAAGGAAGATGCCCGATATTCCACAGTGAGAAAACTGGTTAAAATTCCTAAATTCCTGATATGCTGGGAAAGTTTCGGGAATTCCAAAAACATTCTGAAAATCTCAAGATTACGAAAACATGCTTCTATGTGCCTGTGAATATTTGTGTGTAGGAGTTTTGAGTCCTGAGAAATCCTTGGATGCCAGCGGGCAGCTGTGAGTATGTGGAGGATCAACACTGTGTCCAAGTGTGTGTGTGTGTGTGTAGCTGAGCAGGGGAAAGGGAGTGGGGGTGATACTGACTCTGTTACAGAGTGTGTGGTGGCCTTCTCGTGGTAACGGTACACCAACAGGCACTGGTCGACCCTGGCCATGCCCCCTCCCTGACGAAGACTCTGGTAGAAGAAGATCAAGTCCTCCGGGACTCCCTGGGGAGGAGGAAGTGAGAGTGTGAAACACACACACAGTGAGGAGGGTCAGGGACACTTTGGGTGAACTCTCACCTTGCCCCCCTCATCAAACGGTCCAACCTTCAGGTACCAGTTCCTCGAGCAGAACCACGTCGGCATGACAACTGTTGGCCCATGAGAGGTGTACATCTGAAACACAATTTCAGACTTTAACATAGCAAACATCTCTTTATATAATATAATAGTGTTCTGGACACACTGCAAGTGTACATACTGGTGGTCACTGTGAACAAACACTTTTAAGGGCTTATTTTTCTCTCCCATGAAAATTGAAGCCTTTAGCCACTTTCACACTCGCACTAAGTACTTTGCCGTACTTAGTGCCAGAGGTGGGACCAAGTCATTGTTTTGCAAGTCCGAGTCAAGTCTCAAGTCTTTGCGCTCAAGTCCGAGTCAAGTCTCAAGTCATTGTTTTGCAAGTCCAAGTCAAGTCTCAAGTCAGGTTGGGCAAGTTCAAGTCAAGTCAAGTCCTAAACTTTGACAAAACGAGTCATAAACAAGTCATTATGTGTTTTTCACCAAATGTAATGACATCGATCAACAGAATAATACTTAATAATCAAATTGCTCTTTATTAGTCACATTAACAATTTAATAATCAATTTTCTCTCTGCTGGTAAAGTAACGTGTGTTTTTCTAATTTAAGAGGGATCAGTAAGGTAAGGCTACCGTGACGGTTTGATTCAGAAGGAGTTTAATGTATAAGATTCCTGATATTGAGGTAACCAGAATGTTTATTTCCACTGTGTACAACATGTTGTAAGGGACCCACAATCTATCTTTATGCAAGGGATAATGTGCAGCGAGGCGGTCTCTATGGGGAAGAGAACACCTGCATCTAGATCCCTCTGCAGGTGGTACCTTAACTATATTTTGATGATAATACTTTTGTACTTTTACTTTTTGAATGCAGGACTTTTTATTGTACAGGGTTCCTGCAGGTTTCACCAACTCAAATGTAAGACTTTTTAACACCTTTTTAAGACCACTTTGAATAGAATTTAAGACCTATTTCACGGCAATAAAGTATGAAGGAAAATGTATATAAAGAAGAAATACGTCCCATAATCACTTACAAAGTAAATGTATTCATGTTCAACATAAGAACAATGACTGAACACAACAGCATAACAGTACAGAACTGTGTTAGCGTGTTAGACAAAAAGTGTGTCTGTGTGTGCTTGAGTGTGTGTGTGTTAGGGCTGTGCAATTAATCATATTTTAATCGCAATTACGATTTTGGCCTGCCACAATTACGAAAACAACATAATCGGAAAAAACGATTATTTTGCTTTGCTAGGTTGTGACAGTGCACTACAACATATTTGATCTAATTATTTTTTTAGTAATGTATCATTTAATTAATTAATTTTTGTATTGGTTTTTCAGTTGAATTATATGTTCAGGGTAATCAACAGTTAAAAAGATACTGTTCAAATTATTATTTATTTTAAAGTTCAATAAATGGATGTTTTCAAAGTCAATGAATAATCATATTTAATAATCGTGATATTAATTATTGACCAACATAATCTTGATTATTGCCATAATCGAGCAGCCCTAGTGTGTGTGTGTGTGTGTGTGTGTGTGTGTGTGTGTGTGTGTGTGTGTGTGTGTGTGTGTGTGTGTCTGAGAGAGAGTGACAAGAGCTATATTCAGAGCTCTGCTGCCTTGGCTACACTATTTCATCGTTGCTGTTGTATGATTGGTGTTTAGCTACGGTATTTAGCGTCTACAGCACCTCCGCTTTTAGGGTTGACGTAGACCCAAACTTCGCCCGGAGGTCCCCCGGTGTTGTTGCGGGAGCTGCTGCATTAGCTAACGTTGCATTAGCTGCTGCTGCACTAGCTAACGCTACATTAGCAAAACAAACACTAATTTATTTTGCAAAAGGTGCAGCGGGCTTCAAACACGTTCCCTCCACTGGTTTCAACCAAGCACTAAATTAGACGTTTTCCAACCAAATACGGTGGAACTTACACTTCCCCATATTTATTTGTAAGTAGATTCGAAGATAGGCTACATGAGCTGAAGTTTGGTTGCTAGGTTACTAGCTGGGTGTTCTCCAATAAGGGGCCGGGGGGAACAAAGTTAGTGATTACTGGAGTGGTTCCATGTTGATTTAATTCAATACAAATTGGTGGGGGGAACTGAAAGGCTATTACCGTACTGGTTACTTTGCAGCCCGGACATTTCCCCCAAAACACATTTAGACGCTATCGCAACATAGAAGTAGCCTACCTTTAAAATCCGATAATTTTTAAGACCTTCTGAATCATATTTAATACCTTTTTAAGGCCTTAAATTCTGATTATCAAATGTAAGACTTTTTAAGACTTGTTAAGACCCCGCGGGAACCCTGATTGTAACTTTTTTAATTCTTTGAACTTCTCCCACCACTGACAATAAATCCTGAGTGGTTACCAAAAAAAAACCCTGCTCTGAAGGTTATTTTCATTTTACAAATCCTGCACTCAGCTTTGCTTTCTCCAATATCATTGAAAAGCAGCCAGATGCTGCTTCTTTTTTCGGTTTTCGCTCATTTCTTGACTTTTTCCGACGCATATGCATTTAAATCCGGCTCCCCGTCTCCCCGTCACTCTGTGCAGCTGGCCTGTACCACTACACATGCTGTGCCCCCACCCTTCTTTCACATAATGGTATGATCCTAGTGTGTCCTCGCATATGATTGGCCGCATGGTGGCCCAGCTAAATAAAGACCCGCCCCTGCCTGCAAGGATTCTCAGCAAGAGTAGGAGCGGCTGGAGATTCTGCTTTCCCCGACGGGAGTCTGCTCTTCTAACGGCAGCTCGCGATCGGCGTGTTGGAGACCTCTGAATTAAAGTAGCAAGTCACCTCAAGTCAGAAGGCTCAAGTCCAAGTCAAGTCCCGAGTCATTGGTGTTCAAGTCCAAGTCGAGTCGCAAGTCTTTTGTGATGTTGTCAAGTCGAGTCTCAAGTCATAAAATGTGTGACTCGAGTCTGACTCGAGTCCAAGTCATGTGACTCGAGTCCACACCTCTGCTTAGTGCTCACACCAAGCGGCAAACTCTGGGGAACAGCCGGGACGCCAATACGGAAGTGCCACACACTGCAGTTCATACATGGGCCGCTAGGGACTGGCTGCAGAAATGTTAAAATGCCCAACTTTACAGCAGAAAAAACATGTTTCTACCCATGGATGCAATACATATTATTATCGATATAGTTAGATTCCACCTTCATGATTATGAATCTGTGAGTGAATTGTTTTCTAACACGACCCTTTTATTTATATTAGGTCTTTGGTTTTTGCATAAATTAGGGCGTGGTCACTTTGATGGACACGTACATGCCTCACTGTCAGCTAACAGCAACTTGTCCACTCTGCTAGGCTACAACCATAGAGGCTACAACGTTAGTTAGTCATAGTACTGTACTTGACCCTTTAGCTTTAGCCGTGTTCGTGGTGATTGTGCCTTTTAGGGAATATTGTTACAAATACCAGACAATTCAAATGTCGTGCTGTGCGCTTGAATGTACTAACAGAACTTCCAAGAAGTCTAAAATGATAATATTATACATGTTAACCCCGTTCGCAGGTGTTTGTGTGCTTGGTAGCTTAGCTTGTTACTTATTAGCCAGCTAAGGACGTAACCCTTTATGCATACATATACATTTTAGTTTATGATTCAGCCTTGGGTAAGACTTTTATAGTCTATGGCTATGACGCCCATAATGCTAAACGGGAGCAAATGTTAATAGGGGACCCAATTATCCCAGTGGTGGCCGCCGGAGCTAACGGAGCCGCAGGGGGCTAGCTCCAGCCGGCGTCCCGGAGCTAGCCCACTGCGGCTCCGTTAGGTCCGGGCGGTGGAGTCCGTCTTTTCTCAACGTGTGAATGACAAGCATTAAGAATAACAAAATATAGCTAATTCTCTTGCAGATTGTCTCATTTGATTATGAATGTAACGTGTATATAGGGGAACTACACTGTTAGCAGTAACTTGGTATGCATGTATTTCATGTTAGCTTAGCTTCTTAGCCTGAGCTTTACTTCCAGTTCGGAGGCAGCAGGTCCCGCCTCTTTGCCCTTATTTGGAGCAGGCGGGATTAGACTCTGACGTCACAGTCGAGCCGTTAGTGGCCGACTCCGCCTACTAAGGGCTTCACGGCAACTCTGCAGAATCCTATGGGTGACGTCACGGACACTACGTCCATTTACAGTCTATGGTTCACACCGGAATAAATTCCCTGAGGGAATATTACGCAAATGAGCCGCTAACGTCACTTCTTCTTCTTCTGGTTTACTGGCAGGCCGCAAACCACTTCCACTTCACTGCCACCCGAAGTCCCCGGCCGTAAATCCCCGGAGTTGGGAACTGCTGGGACTCCCAGCAGCTTCTTCTGAAGCCTTCCGAGTAAATCGCCAGAACGCCGACCCATCCTTATCTCCACCGCTCCCATGTTTTATTTTGTGTTGCCATAAATTATTCTCTCTCCGTTGGTGCACAGGGCTAATGCTAATAATGCTAATGCCAGCAAATACAATGGCGGCTTCACAAAACTTTTCAGAGTTTTACGAGGCGTGGTTTGCAATTCGCCCAGCCAATCGAAATTGGTACTTTTTTTCTCCCCAGGATAGTATCACCTCTGTAGCAGGCACTACAAATGGGGGTAAAAGTTCCCGGAACTAAGTACTCTTTTTGGTGTGAATTGTGAACGCACTAACGGAACTAAACGGGAAAAGTACGGGTAAAAGTACTCCTAATAGAGGGGATGAGTAACAGAAAACAAACAAGATGGATTTTCCAAAATACGAAACTAATCTCCAATTGAATAAAAGTAAATATGTGATTCTACAGCAAATTTTGCACAAGTACACGGTGGAAGAAAAAACTGATATACTTAAATAAGGTCTTAGAGGTGAGAAAAAGGGAAATGTAACCATGGATCAATGCACCTGGATACAAACTAGTATTAGCTGGGAGTATAAGTATACTTTTTTTAAATATTGATATCAATTCATATAAATATAGTGTTAAATGTGAACATTAAAACAAGTATGAACTCAGGCTTGAATAATCAAATCCTGCAAGAGTTATCATGATATATAAATACAACCACAACCTGCAGGTTGTCTCTCACACCGAGCAGGAAACAGAATTTAGTATCAGCTCCACATAAAATAACTTTGTTTCGTGTTTAGAAAACATAACATTATATAAGCTAGAACCTGACCAGGGTTTGGCAGACAGACGGCTCTGGGAAATTTCACATTTGTTTTTGAACAAACAGTACATTGCAGAAAGACTCTGCAAGACTGCAAACAAAACAGGTTGGAGTGCAGCAGCATGTCTCACACCTTCCTGGAAGGACACACACCTCCATCCTCTGGCACATGCTCTTATACTAATGACTTTGTTTGGGCCCGTTTCTCCTCTAACCCAATTTGTCCCCCTCTTCTCACCATTCAAGTTCTGCATACCCCTCTCTCCAGACCCTCACCCCTACTTGTACCTCCTTTCCTCTGCATGTGTGTGTGTTTGTAGTTTTGTTGCATTTTGAATCCGAGGGTCATACCAGGTTGAGATGTTTCTTGCTCCAGCTATGTCACTATGAGTGTTCTTGGTTAAAGTTGAAGACAATTGCAAAAGTTAAATGAAACACAGATGAAGAAAATAGAGGAAAACATCTGGATTCAGCCAGTCAAACAGCTGGACAGAATCTAGAAAGAGTGTGTGTGTGTGTGTGTGTGTGTGTGTGTGTGTGTGTGTGTGTGTGTGTGTGTGTATGCATGTGTACAACTCCTCTCCCTTCTGTTGTAATATTGCAACATTTTGCAGATGTAAGCTGTGGCCAAAAGCATGAATAAGAGGAATACGAATGAGTTCTGGGAAACCAGGGGACAGAGAGAGAGAGAGAGAGAGAGAGAGAGCGAGAGCGAGAGCGAGAGCGAGAGAGAGAGAGAGAGGATGTGAGTCAGTGAGAGAAGATGTGAGTCAGTGTCAGAAGTCAGAGGGGTAGGGGAGGGTTGTGATAACCATAACTAATATCCTACAGATGAACACTCAGGTTCCACCTCTGGATCAGGTTAAATGAGCCACACTCAGAGTAAATCTCTGGTTTAACTCAGAGAGCTAGATTATGTTTCCTCACCCAGAACCTGGGAGTAAAGGCAGATAGAGTGAAGAAAGGAGAAAATGTGAGGAGAAGTGAGGAGCTGCTTCAAGCCTGCAGGATCAATGCATGATCTCATTCTCATGCTCCATGAAACTTAATATCACATAAATATCCAGGAATGGCTGCTAAGGAGTTATGCAGACTCTCTCTGTGTGTGTGTGTGTGTGTGTGTGTGTGTGTGTGTGTGTGTGTGTGTGTGTGTGTGTGTGTGTGTGTGTGTCCAGGTTGTGTTGTATCCTTGGTGACGGTGTGTTTTGTTCAGACAGCAACAGTAGAGTTCCATCTCTACGTAAATAAAGGGTCTTAGCATGTATCATTTAGTGGTTAATGTCCCTTCTTATTATGGTGAAAGTAAAATCTTTAATTATAAAAGTGGTAAAGATTGTCATTGAATAGCACCTTAAAATAATTATTCCACAGCTGAACAGATAAATAAAACTGATCTGTCAAAGCAGTTTAAAGGCACATGTATTTTTTAAATCGATGCTAGAGGACCAGAGTAAACAAAGAAAAAGGGCTGTGGTAATCAATTTAGCAGAAAACCTACAATATCCAGCATGCATTGTGCGTGCGTACAGCATCCTCTCCAGCTCGCTGGGCTTGACTCTCTGCTGGGGTGTCCTCGTCTTCCTCCATACACCATAATCCCTCCACACTGAATACGTTGGCATACATAGTGAGAAGCCCCAAATATTATATTCCAGCAATACCCATTTAAGTAGCCGAGCACACAAAAACTGCAGAAGCACAATTGGTAGTTCAAACCAAAGCTCTAAAGCAGGCATGCGCTTCATCTGGCAGACTTTTGTTGACAATGGGTAGAAAGTTGTGGGAGCTGGCAACATAAAGGGAAGTTTAACATGATAAATTAGCATTTAAAACCCACATTATAATGATAAACAGCCAATTAAAAAACAGCAACATGTTCCTTTAATTAGCCAATGCCCTGCCAGGTAATAGCTGGGTTCGCTTATGTGTATAATGTCAACAGAAGTGCGACCAAATGCATTGTGGCCCGACAGTCCAAATACCGTATATTATTATAGTCTTCAGTTAGCAGGCCAACACCGTGCCAGTGTGGGGTTGAGCTATCAGCTGGGTTTGCTTATGCTGGGTCACGTTTCCATTCTTTCCAGATGAGTGTGATTAGGCGAGTCATATAGCTTTCCATGACTTGGCTTTGAAACTTGGCTCCTGACCATTCAAATCTTTTCCATCCTTTGTATTTCACCATCTGCCACAGCCACAACAGAGCTCTGGCTCCACCTGCTCTGGAGGAACAGCAGTCATTTTTTATAGGTCACCTATTATGCAAAATCCCCTTCTCATGTATTTTATACATAAACATGTGTCCCCTCTGTGTAAAGAGATTCTGAACATTTCCGGAAAAAATACCCCTTCTCTTTTTGTCCTGATCCATTTATATAAAAACCTGTCTGAAAATGAGCTGATCAGATTTTGGCCACTTTATGATGTCACAATGATTTTTGGCTTGTGTAACCATTAGCCAATCACCAACTAAGGTAACACCCCCCACCGTATCACCTGAATCTCCTCCTAGAGCACCATTGTGTTCTATTTAACCAAATATCGCTCAGAGGCGCGTGGGGAGTGGCTCCTTCTTTTCATCTAAAGTAACAGACAGAGAATCAGCACTTTTGATACAGGGATGCTACAATGCATGATCTGTTTGGTGTTTGGAGCCAACCACTTCAGAGACATGTTTTGTATATAACTGAGAACTATAATATATTGATGAAAAACAGTATAATAGGGGACCTTTAAGGCATAAAACTATTTATTATTAAATTGAATGGGGCAGAGTGCAGAAGCAAATTATGAGCTTATAAAAAAAGTCTCTAAAGATATTATTATGTAGCAACCTTGACACAGTGGTGCAGTACAATGAGCACAACATGTCAGCAGTTGAAACTGAAATAATCCTGCAGCACTTATTTCTGCAAAATGATCTTTTCCACCACAAGCAGTTTCCACTACTGAGCCCCTCAGCAGGCGGTGTGAGTGGTTTCCTCCGATGGGAGCGGGACGGACTGAGAGGTCAGGAGTGGAGCTGCGTCCTCGGTCTAGTCCACCGCCACATTTCCGTGGAAACAGCAGCGGCAGGTACGTATCCTGTTTCTATCTGACCTGGTTGATGCCTGGCACATGACCTCTCACATACACACACATTCAGAGGCAAAGTAGTGCCTGAACAACATGCTGCGGGTATTTACCTGTGTGAGGAGCTGATCCTGAGAGATCATGTTGATCCAGCGGGTGTAACGCTCCGTAGAGCCCTCAGGGACCCTCTGAACTTGACAGCCAATCAGCTAACATACAAACACAAAAACACGTCAAGATAAAAACTTTTCTGATAAGGACACATTGAAACTAATTCAGCAATTTTGAAAAAGTAACAAGGTTTCATTAGAAGGCCTTCAGAATAAAAAGGTACATTTGAGTTTCAACAGACTAACAACCACACAGACTCATTGTGGTTTGAATTGTTGTTCAGATTTTAAGAACATTTGTATGAAGATTAAATAATTAATGGACTAAGCAATCAAATATTTCAATCATTCATCAAGCAAAAATGATGTGAACTTTTGCAGATTTTTGTTTTATGACAACCATTTCTATTTGTTTATGGTATTGGATAGTTTCCTTACAACATATGACCTCTTTCAAATGTCACTCTTGGCTATGGCAATTTATGATGCACAGTTTTCTTATTTTTTGTAGGCCAAAGAATTAACTAAATAATCAAGAAAATAAATGGCAAAGTAAGCAACATGAAAACAGTCTTTAGTTTTTTTGCATCATGTATCTGAACTGCATCACTTGTTCCCTTTTCGAGACAAACCGGCCACATCTCAGAAGAGAGATCAATAAAAAGTAAAGAGGGGTTTACATAAAGAAGTAAGATTTTATACAAAGCTGGAAAAAACAACAACATATTATCGTACAAGAACTATAAAATATTGCAGCCATAACAGAAATAGGCATGTTGTTTGTGCAGGGCAGCAAGCCTGCTGTCTCCATGCTGTCTCCCTCACTTCCCTCACACACACAACCTTTGACCTCTGACCTGGCGGGCCACAGAAAGCATCAACACCGGATACTCGCACTGTGCTGGATGCCAACTGCAGGGATTCACACACATCCACACGCAGGCCAACAACACGTATATTTTTGGGAGGGATTGGTCAGAGGATCAGAGGGAGAGAGAAAGGGAAGGGGAAGGGAGAGAAGTGAGGAGAAGAGAAATGGAGAAAGCGGGGGGGGGGGAAGTGAGTAAGCAAATACTTGAGGGAGGACTTACAGAGTGTGGGTGGAGGACAGAGGCGTCATACTGCAGACCAACTCTTTGGAGAAGCATAACATCATCCTGGAGTAAAACAACAAATCAATTCAAAGGTTACTTTATGAAAAAATCATACCCGTCTAGTTTGGCTTATACTCAGCATTTTTGTACGGACGGTATGTGCACTCTATGATTGTATACTTTATCAATACTTTTAGGTGTTTTTCTTTTAAGATCACACACGCTTGAACAAATATCTTAAGATTGGTAATTTCTCAATTTGATATTTTTCATCTTCAAAAGGAATTGATATCCTATATAAGGATATTTTGATAAACAATTGTGTCGTCTGGTTTGATGTGAACAAGCATATACCAAATCAAATGTACTATTATGTTCATATTGAAAAAATAAATCAGAACATGCTCAGTCAGGGTATATGCAGGAATCCTGAAGTCACATTTAATACCTTTTAAGACCTTTTTTAAGACCCTTTCCATACATTTTAAGACCTCATCGCAACTTGAGTTCTAACCGGTTACATTGGCGACACACTTTAGCTCACATTTACTATATTGATTGTAAGATAGCACAACTAAACAGAGTGCAGACAGACTACTGAAGCCTCCTCTCCACATGAACTTCGACCTCTCTGTGAAGGTCAGGTTTAATGCAGTATGCTGCTTTGTTGCTTCTGTACTCTGTGCTCTTTCATTCCAGTAAAACTCCTCAGAAACCATTAGAAACCAGTATTTGACCAATAAACAAAACAATTGACAAAACTTTGAACTATGAAATATATTAAACTGTGGTGAGCTTCAGCGGGGTAATGCCATATAGGAGCTCCCTCACAAATACCCAGGGGTTAAATTGGGCTGGGGCTATCCGGGGCTAAGCCCGGCACATAGGGCGATGCTCTGACGTCATCACCCTCACACATTTGTCGTATGTTTACAAAACGATATATATGTTAAGACTTTTCTCGTTCTTAATATAGACTATATTTAGGGTCGATATGTGTTGACCTTACTTTAAAATAGCAGATCTCTGTGACCGGATATAGTTTGGCTTAGTGAACATGTGTCTCTTCCTTGGAGGAGCAGCATCGCCCGGACTCCGCTGCTCCTCCGTGCCCCCCACAGACTCTCCCCCCCCCCCCCCCCCACAGAGCGGAGCAAGGCAACGAAACTTAAAATAAGAAGCAGCATTTTACGGCGCGCTATGCATGGGGCCACCTTGAGGGGGTTTCGCAACATGTCGTTTCAGTAAATTAAAGGGTGTTTAATGTTGTCGTTGCTGTGGACCTTCTTAATACCTTGGAAAATGACGTTTAATACTTTTTAATAGCCTTAATTTTCGCTAAATTGATTTATCAACTTTTAATACTTTTTAAGACCCCGCGGACACCCTGTCAGTACTTCTTCATTTGGCAAGTCATTCACACAAAAAAGGCTTTAAATAACCACGGGTTATTTATATACACTTATTTATTTATTGACTAATTTATTGTTTTATCTAGCAATCATGCTATATTGTAATATATAGCGTTATCGAGATATGGATCAAACTATATAGGGATACGAGATTTTTGTCTTAAAGCCCAGCCTTGATAGAACAGACCAGTAATGGCTACTGGCTAGCTTTGCAGCTAGATAGAGACGCTAAAAGGGAGTTGTGGTGTTATAGCAGCTACTTCAAATTAGCTTAGATAATAACAATAACAATCCCAATATGCATATGGTACCAACAACAGAAATAATCAAATAGACAATGGAAACAGAGACATGTATTTAAACAATATTTCCCTGATATATCCGTGCAAAGAAAAAATGCTGATGAAAAATATTATGTAAATGCAGGTATAAGGTAGGTTTAAGTTGTTTAAGGAAAACCAGTATATTAACAGTGTCAAAAAGTAGAATGAAACAAATACAAGAGAGCACATAGGAGTTTTCTGAGAAAGCAATCTTATTGTCTTTGGATATTTTATTTTATTAAAATGAAAGAGCATTTGATAATCTGTATGATCAAGCTGTTAAGAAATAGATCTAAACAGAGATCACACATTCTGATGTTTTGGCCATTGATTAGTTGATCTAACAATACAGCCTTCAGATCAGTGACCATAAAATACTGTTTCAAAGAAAGACAATCATACTGTATAAACATCAATACATAAAACACACATAATGAAACGCTGCTCTCCGCTCATTAGTCATGCTCTCTGACAGGTCTGTCAAACAGTCACTGAGGTCTGTGTGTAAACGGCTCAATGTACAGCGTGTATATTTGGGCAAAACAATATGATCTTATTAGTTTTTACACACTACTATATGTGTTATTAAAGACATCTGGACAGTGAAGTGAACCATACTTTGTCTGACACACACACACACACACACAGACACACACACACACACAAACACAAAAACACACACTCACCGCATCCTGAAAGCACAAGTATTGCCCACAGCTCTGAGACACTGCCTTGTTCTTCGCATATCCCACTGAAAGACAAAAGAACAGTGTATGTTAATGTAGGTCAAGTCCTTCAGGTTTTTGGCCTGTACCAGTGATTTAGCCTGACTTGATAGGCTAGAGGGCAACGGAGGACGCTTTGGACAACTCAAATTCGTTCTTTTTGTCTTTATTTATCAAGACAGCTCCAAGAATTGATCAGGTTGAAAACCAACGGCGTCTCCGGAGCCTCACACACACTGTCGCCTGGTTCTCTCTCCGTGGCTTTGAGAACCAGAGACCGGCCATCACAAACTATACCCCTTTTGTAGCCGTGTTGCCGGCATTCATATATTTTCTACAGCCCACGCTATCAAAAATAAACAAATACCCTCTCCTGGTATTGAACAATACTATAATAATAATACTAATACTCTAAATGAAAACACATAATTATTTTTTAGTCCGTTTTTCACAGATATTATATATTGACTTTCGTCTCGGCACCTCCCACTTGAGCTCCTGGTTTCTAACCCAAGGAGCTCACACCAGTTCTTCACCTTCAAATCACACCTGTTCTTCCACAGGAAGTAAGATGACAAGGCGCCTGACATCTCTATGAAGAATTACGAAACGATTACAAAAACAACATAATCGAAATAAAACGATTATATTTTTATTATAACTTTTTTATTTTTTTTAAATACATTTTTTTTTTTGGTTTTTCAGTTGAATTATATTTAAAGTTCAGGGTAATCAACTGTTAAAAACATACTGTTCACATTTTTCTCTCCAATAAATGGATGTTTTCAAAGTCAATGAATAATCGCATTTAATAATCGCAATTATTGACCCAAATAATCGAGATTATGATTTTTGCCATAGCCGAGCAGCCCTAGCAGTAATTATACAAAATATGTTAAGGTGGAAATTTAAAGGGAGTATTTGATTTATCAGGATGAATTCCAACAGGATGACTGTGCCACAGTTTGGGAGCTCTGACAGCAAACACACACTCCTTTAGTTTTAGGTTTATACCAGGGAACTGTAGGTATTGTTATCTTACAGGATTATATACTGGTTGTAGGTACATACAATATGGTCAAAAAGCATAGGTTGGATTACAGACCAAAAAAGCTTTAAAAGTTAATTAGTTAAACCTCCTCTTATTTGGAATAAATTAAAAAGCCAAAGCAATATGTCACATCTCTTACTACAATGGATCACACACATACACTACATGTTTTCCTCAGCAACTCAATGAATAATAACACTTTTGATAATATGATATTACCTCAGGGTGCACTTTTAAGCTTTTTCTTGAGCCCTAACCTCTAACTGCCTTCACAGCAAAATACTGAATAAACTCTAGAAACAGACAAGGTCAGCTGTCTGTGAACACAATACAAAGACTAGTCCAAGGATATCTATGAAGTAGAACATCATGAAGCATGGTTGAATGCTGGTAAATGGACTTTGAGTTTTGCAGATCTTACATCAACTCTTACATCTTCCCTGGCTTCTCATAGAAAATGTTCTACTGATGTCAGCGACTGACAATGAGATTCAATCAGGCACGGGAATTGATACTGATCAACCACCTAAAGTCCACTGACCTCCTCTGGGTTGGGATGAGTTGTGGCCGGAGATCACCACGGAGACGCCCCTCTCCTCCAGCCTCTCCTTCCAGCCCTCCACCACTGTCCTCGAGTCATCCTAAAAGAAACACACACAGAGTTTAAACTTGAACTGGGGTCTCATATTTTGTGCCTAATTAGATCTGTGTGTTTAAATGCGTACAAAAATAAACATACAGTGCTTGCGTCATCAAAGACAGACAGCTCCATGGTGCCAGTGTAGTCTTGATGTAATATGGCCTGCAGACATTCATCCAGCCAACAGGATGCATTGTACATTGGCATGACAATACTCTGAAAACACGACAAAACAGTCAAGTTACGCATGATGAAAGCATCAATGAATAGATTCCAAACTTTCATATTTAATTTTGTTCTTCATCGTTGTATAATGCACATATTTATACTTACTTGTTTCTACTTTTTTATGGTTTCTCTATTTCAATTTCAATTCAATAATAGGAGCAATGTAACATCACCCAATTTCAATTACCCCAATTTCATTCTGGCCACATACTCAAATATATATATTGTCTTTTAGCTAAGAAAATCAATGTTAGCTGTTTATTTGAAATTGCAGGTGTATCACCTATCACCTACCACATCCACAGCTCCCCCCTCCTCCTTCCCTCCTGTCGGTGGTTCTTCCTCATCTCCTGTGGACCGGAGCCTCTTCGGGGGGTTCATGCCTACCTCTGAGCCCGCAGAGCAAGCACTTGGGCAGAGACACAATCGACCAACCAAGGTTTAGATGATGTGATAAAGGCCGAAATCAAAGTTATTTAGCAGTTGAGTCTGCGACGAAGGTTGACCCACGAGGGCTACACGTGGAATCAAAACGTAAGTTCTCACTGTGTCATTTCTGTTTTCTAAGTTGAATGTGTCCTCATTGACGAATTACATCTCTCGAAAGGTGGTGTGTACATTTTGTGACGCTTAAAGAAACACTTTTAGCAAAAACATTTAGTCCAAACCTGCAGCGCGGATACTGGCTTCACAACTTCCGTAAACAATGAATTGCAGACGCTCATTGGCTGGTGTAAAACACGGACAGACTCCGGATTCGCTGAAACTCCCCGTCAATCACATGACTTGTGACGTTACAGGCAGTGTGTAAAAAAGCTAGTTTGCCTTTTAGCTCTCACTCTTTTCCAGGAAGCTGGATATTTACAAGTCAAATCTGAAGTAGGCTATTCCTTTTTTTTAAACTGACAAATCATCAATAATGTTCAATTAAGATCTAAATTCGTAAAATACACTTTGGAATTTTGTTTTAGTTAGTAGAAAGTTGCCATTATTAATCACATCATATATATTTTGTTTCAGTATTCAATCATAACAAATTCCTAGCACAAGATCAATGTTCTAGACATTTTTCAAAGCTTTCATCCACATCTCAGAGCCTTCATTAGGATATGTTCAGTTGTCATGAACTATAAATTGTATTTTTTTGTATCTGACTGTACGAGGTCATCCAAAACTGCTTTTTATAAGGATAGGAATTAACTTATATTTTAACAACATAAGAGAGTAACACGGTTTATTTAAATACTTCTCTTTTTCTATCTTCATGTTTTAGTTTGGTCATGCTCATTGTTAATGCAACGTTGCAGCTCTCAGAGCTGCTTTCCTGCATAATGTTGACTATAGCGAACCAGATCAGGGTGGATTTTTTTATGTTAACGTTGGCAGCAGCAGCATGGTTTGTCTTGGTTAGCGGACAGAAAAACAGGATGGGCTGAAATAATGTTTCTGATCATCATTTACATTTTCTCTCAGATAGGAGAGCACATGGATGAGAGAGAGAGGAAGAGAAAGATAGAGCAGGCTCAGTGTATCAGTAGTATGTGTGAATCAGTCTGAGTGTTGACATATGAAGATATATTTATTTTTGCATCTAACCGTAGTCACTGGTTAAATACCTTGGTATCTGGCTTGATGATTGTCTCACTTTTAAACTTCATGTCAATAACCTGCTTAAAAAGCTGAGGGTTAGGCTAGGTTTCTTCTACAGGAACAAGTCCTGTTTCTCGCTTGAGGCCAGGAAAAGGCTAGTCACTGTGACCTTTTTACCTGTGCTGGACTATGGTGATTTGATGTATATGAATGCACCTGCCAATTGCCTGGTCAAGTTAAATGCTGCGTATCACAGTGCACTGAGATTTGTGACAAACTGTAAAGTATTAACCCATCACTGTACCCTGTATGCAAGGGCTGGTTTGCTTTCACTAACTGTACGGAGGCTCAGTCACTGATACATTTTTATATACAAAGCCATGTTAGGGAAACTTCCATCTTATATCTGCTCCCTGATCTCACGGAAAATTGTAAGTGGCTACTGCCTGAGATCGAATTCTGTGGTTTTATTAAATGTGCCAACTGCTAGGACTGTCTTAGGGAAGACAGCTTTTAGATGCGCAGCTCCTCTGTCTTGGAATAGTCTGCAAATTAAATGGAAACTGAACAATCTGGTGCCACTAAATGTTTTTAAAGCTCGGTTGGATGCTACTCAATCGGAAGCTATTGGTACCTGTTTATGTGGATAATTATGTAAATGATGCTGTATGATGTCCTTTTGTTGTTCTATTTATGTTTTTAACTTTTTATGTTTCATGTGGAACTACTTGAGCAGGTCTCCCTTGAAAAAGAGATCAATGATCTCAATGGGATTTATCTGTATAAATAAAGGTTTGAAATGAAATGAAATGAACTGTAACAACAAAAATAATACAAATCCCAGCACTCAGCTGAAGCAGGGACGATCAAACAGTTCATGATTTGAGTCAGGAATCAAAACAAATTAGTCCTGGATACTGTTCATCCCTACTCTGGTGCCCATTACATCTAGGCCTACTTCCATAGTACAGACGGCTCATTATCATCCTCATATTCATCCTAATTTTTTACGTGTGTCATGATAGCAATTCATGAGCAATAAAAAACCTAAGCTGATTTACTTCTGTGTTATTTTTAATAAAGTCCTGATTTGTATTAGACACAGTCAGACACACACTCCTATAGGCCACCACTCAGACAGGATGTGGTCCAGAGATTACACCGGAGAATAATTGTTCCCACATGGCCTGCAGGAGCATTTTGGATTGGACAAAACACAATTTATTACTTTGAATAATTCTTTAAATTGGACAAAGGCCTCATTGCAGTCAAGGAACAACAGCTCCAAGGGGGGGGGGGCAACCGAGCAGGAATTATTATTTCATGCTTGAGTGCATGATGTATGGGATCAGGAGAAAACTTGACCTGACTGTGCAACACACCTGCTGAAGAGGGGAGTTTCAATACAAAGCTTCAATGCTGGTATGATGTAATGAAAGAAGCAAACAAATGACATTATTGTATGTAAGCTTTTCCAAAAAACTGACAAGTAGTGTTTGATAACTACAGAAAGACATGCACGATTTACTTTTAATTATACATCTCACTGGTTTTACTCCTGGAGGCTCAGGGTGAGTCCCTCTGAGTCTGTTGTAAATGTGAAGTTTGCCCATTTCCCTGCACAGCGGGTCCACATCGTGTCTGATATTATTTTGCAACAGACCCAATGGTCTACTCATTCTGACAACTGTTCTCCCATCTATTTAATCCTTTCCTTCCCCAAATCAACACCACATGTCGAGGTTGCAAATCAAATGTTGCAGGCTGCTGCTGTTTAGATCTGTGATCAGGCTGCACTTGATCTTGTTTGGACAGACAGGCCAAACATTAAAGAGGAGGGAAATGTGTGAGTGTGTGTCTGTGGGTAACGGGATGATTGGATTTCCTCGATTCAGTTAGTTTTCGGGAACTGTGCATATTTTAGACAATTTGTGGTTGTTTTAAATGATCTTGTGAAGCATCTCATGCAGACACACACAGAGAAGAGATACCTGCAGGGACTAAATAAGATAGTATCAGTCTTTCTTTGAGTTCAATATCTTTTCAAAGGCAAGATATTTTTGCAGCAACTTGCAATACTTTACTGCTTTAGTCCATGATGATGTATACACATGTGTACTGTACACACATACACATGGCACTGCTTTAGTGCACAAATACTACAACAACTACTACTACTACTACTACTATATTTACTGAATAGTAACAACTGCTGCTGTTTACTACTTAATCAAATAAAGTGTGCTGACTGATGGGTTGCTTCACTAACAGGAATGTAATCATATCCATTTTGTTACCCAGGAGTAAAATAATGAAGGAAGACCTGCAGGGTGCAAAAACAGCTGGGTCAATATTACCATCTAGTGGTCGAGACGTGAAATGAATAATACCTACTCCTTGTTCTCTTTAGCAACAACATAAACATTTATTTTTAGATATTAGTGCATGTGTGCGTTAGATTTCGAGTGTGGCTTTACTGATGAATGGTGGACAATAATAACATTTAACAGCAATTTCAATCTATGTTACCTGTGGTGCTGGTTTTGCAGTTTTTTTTACCTGAAGCTACAGCTCCCTGCTTTACAGAGCTTTGGGTTTTGCATTGTTTAACCTGTTAAGCCCCAAGGTCCCCCTCGGCGGGTACTTTTTTATTTTTTTTCATGACACTATGTCTCAGGGGATCTTAATATTTAAGAACCTATTAATGTGTTATACCAGATTAACGGGAATAATCTCAGCTAACTGACGATACAAACCATTTTTACCAAAACAAAACACAAGTCTCATAAGAAGCATCTAAATGACCCCTTAGCGAAAAATGCTAACGCACTTTGGCACAGAACTCAAGATAAAAGATACCCTTATTACTTATCGTAGCTGCACATACAAGATATCCGATTAAAGCTGAGGTTCCACAGATTATTTAGGTATATATCATCACTGAGTCATCCAGACTTGCGACAGGGGAAGCAAACACAGACATCACAACACGTACCTTTACGTAGTTTTTACAGGAGATCGTCTCACCTTAGCTGTCAATCTGATCAAAAGACGTGTTCAATGGCATTAAAACGAGAAAAAACGCAGCTGAATGCAACATTTGTATATGCTTGTCAACTTAATTAGTGACTTTAATGTTAATTTATCACTCATTATTAATGCCCCCAAGTGGTTAAAAAACTGCCAACTTAAAGGGGACATGTCGAGAACACCCATTTTGTCTGTGCTTGTAATAATAATAATAATAATAATAATGGGTTCCATTTATAAAGCACTTCATATTTGATTTCAAATCCCGAAGTGCTACAAGTAGTGAGCATGAACAGTATAAATAAACATTACACAACACGGTAGAATTAATAAAAAGCAATACAAAAATAAAAAATAAATAAAAGGGTGATAAAAAGGTCTAGGCAAAGGCTCTTTTGAAGAGATGGTCTGTGGTGCTCTCATTTGGTCGGGGAGAGCATTCCACAGACTGGGAGCAGCCGAGCAGAAGGCCCGGTCTCCCATAGTATGGAGCTTAGTCCTGGGGGGTTTGAGGAAGTTGGAGTTGCTGGAGCAGGTGGTCCGCAAGGAGGTATGGGGGGTGAGGAGTTGCTTGAGGTAGGGAGGGGCAGTTCCATCACTGGTGGGTGAGGACGGAGACCTTGAATTCGATCCTCAGTTCCACGGGTAGCCGTGGAACTGAGGTAGTGTAGTGCTTTAAGGATGGGGGTGATGTGATCATATTTGCGCACCCTCATCAGGATCCTAGCAGCGCTGTTCTGAATGTACTGGAGTTTATGGATGCTTTTGTTAGGGATCCCGATGAGGAGTGCATTGCAGTAGTCCAGCCTGGAGGAGACAAAGGCATGGACCAGCTTTTCGGCGTCAGACAGAATGAGTGTGGGGCGGAGTTTGGCGATGTTCCTGAGGTGATAAAAGGAGTTCTTGCACAGCTGTTTAATGTGGGCCTCAAAGGTCAGATGGGCATCAATTTTAACACCCAGGTTGGTGACTATTGAGGAGAGGGTAATGTCCTGGCCGGAGAAGGTGATGGTGGTGATGGTGGATGACCGAACCTGGTGTGGGGTGCCAACTATAATGGCTTCGGTCT